GTCTTCATCTTCGTCTTCGGCTTCGCTTCCACTCTGTTTGCAACCTAACTCTCAGCGGTTCTACCTTACTATCTTTTTATCATGGTTTCAATTTCGTTTGTTGTGGCAGTAAGTAGGCAATGCAATATAATTTTCGATGAATATTGTATATCTTGTTAATAACGGAGTTTATGTGGCCAACGCATGATAATCTTGTATTGATTCTAAAACCCAGGTTAGTTACCGCCTCTTCAAATTTAATATTTATTCCGTCAAGCAATATCGGTGACATAGAGCTAAGGTCATATTTTGAATGAGAAATAGCAATCGCCTTCGTCTTTGACGCATTTAATTTCAAATTTTTAGCACAGGACCAGCTAGAAATACGAGTGAGATCTTCATTAAGCCTTGCTATCAAATCTTCAACAAGGCCTATGGGCCTTCACAAGTAGATCTGCGTGTCATCAGCATAGAGATGAATGGATGAATTTTGGCAGCACTCAACAATATCATTATTAAACATGCAAAATAGAATGGGACCTAAAATAGAGCCTTGCGGCACCCCTGAAGTTGTCGGTTTTAGGCTTGAGTAGTTCTCACCACATTTGACTTGTTGCAGCCGGTTCGATAAGTAGCTTTTTATTAATTGAAAAGAAAAAGCCCCAAATTTATAATGGTAACGCAATTTTTGCAGGAATATGTTGTGATCAATACTATCAAAAGCTTTAGAGAAATCGAGCAACACTAACACTGTTAGATACTTTTTATCATAGGCAGGGCGAACGTCCTCAAAAATTTTAAGCATGGCAATTTTATGCATGATAATTTTGATGATGTTTTTTTTTGTTATTTCATTCGGGCTCGCTGAATCCGGCTACTTTTTCGTTGGCGGTACTCTATGAGCTGGAATACGTCGGTTTGTTGAAGAGTGCTCTCTTAGACCGGCCTTCCGTTGTGACTGCAACTTGTCGAGAAAAGCTTTCCTTGCTTTTTTGGGCGCACAATTTTTTTCTGCACATAACCTCCGGGGTGAACGACAGTACTCTGCGACGGAGTCTCTCTCTCACCACAAATCCAACACCGAATTTGCACTCCTATACATGGCAGTTGTAGTAGGCATCGCAAGGTCCCAGATATTGCATGCCTTGCTTCATCTAATACATTTCTTGGATGGCGGCGATGCCATCTTTTGTGCTTACGAGGATATCGACCACACGGGAAGATGCACCCTTCCCTTTAACGATGCGGACATTCCAAGTGGATGCCCTCAAATCGTAGTCCCTTAAACTTTTGCCGTGGTCGTCATCCAAAGAGGGGGAGGGGTCTCACCCCAGACTTTGTGTAGTTTTTTTTACTGGAAGTGGTTCTTCTTACTTATTTTAAACGTTTTCTTCATAAATTTAAAATATTATTTTATTTTCCCGCAGTATGGTCTTTATGGTGCGTTTATGGGATGTTTCGTTTACGTAGTACTTGGTACTTGCAAAGACAGCACGGTTGGCTCGACAGCCATTGCATCACTTATGGTTTTTCAGTTCGCCAAAGGTGTATGGCAACGCGCTGTGTTACTTACATTCCTTACTGGTATCATCGAAATTCTTATGGCATTCTTCCGATTAGGTTTCATCATTGAATTTGTTTCGGATCCCGTCAGTGCCGGTTTCACAAGTGCTGTTACACTGATCATATCCACAGCGCAGTTTAAAGATATTATTGGTATCAAAAATGCGAAAGGTACCACTTTTCTGGAGCGATGGATAAGCATGATTAACAGCATTGGGAGTATACGCTTAGCGGACACTATACTCGGATGTAGCTGTGTTGCTATTTTGCTGCTAATGCGCTTCATAGGACGCATTAAAGTCGGCCCGAAAACGGAACGCAAATGGTATCACAACTTCGTCACTAAGGTTTTGTGGTTTATTAGCGTATCACGAAACGCCACACTGGTTATGATATGCGCAGCACTGAGCATGTATTTGCAGCAGCAAGGTAAAAATTATTTCCGGCTGACAGGATTTATACCAGCGGGATTGCCTGAATTTCGTTTACCACCCTTCTCCATTGAAGCTGTACCGGCCAATGTCACTGCCGGCCAGTCAGCTGTAGAAGCTGAATCTTTCTTGGATATGGTGAATAATTTGGGTTACGGCCTGTTGATTGTGCCGCTCGTCGCAATGTTGGAGAATATCGCTGTATGTAAAGCGCTTTGTGAGTTGAACTATTTTTATATTCATCGCATAGTACGAAAATTCTTTGAATTTATTCTATAGCTAAGGGGCAGCCTATGGACGCATCACAGGAATTGCTTGCAATGGGTGTAGCGAACGTGGCAAATTCATTTTGTCAAGGTTATCGTGCCAATGGTGGTCTGGCACGTTCGGCTGTCAATAAAGCCAGTGGCGTTCGTACTCCGCTTGGCAATTTTTATATTGGCATAGTTGTAATGTTTGCTTTGGCTTATTTAACTGAGTTCTTCTACTACATCCCAAAGGCGGTTCTGGCTTCCATTATCATCTCAGCGGTGATCTTCCAACTGCAGTACCAGGTGATCATGCCAATGTGGCGTAGTAAACGTAAGTGCTGCAAAAATAGTTGATAAAAAAGTTCGTGATGCTAAACATATCGCATTATTTGTTTAATTTCTCTATTTTCTTCTCTATCCAGGTACCGATTTAATTCCTTATTTTGTTGCTTTGGTAGCTTGCTTGGTTATGCCGTTGGAGGTTGGCATCCTTTTAGGTATAGGTGTAAATTTATTATTTATTTTGTATCATTCAGCGCGTCCGAAAGTTCGTCTGGAGACATTGGAGGTACTTAAGTGAACCAAAAACCTTAATCTATGTTTGGTGCTTTGTGTGTTTATAATATGTTCTTGGTTTCTTTTCAGACTCATGATGGCATTAAATTTATCAAACTCACACCAGATCGCTGCCTCATCTTTCCCTCCGTCGAATTTGTGCGCAATATTGTATTGAAGTTTGGCAATAAAACTACACTTCCTGCAGTAATCGATTGCACCTATGTCTATGGTGCGGACTATACCGCTGCCAAAGTGATTTCTTCTCTAATTGAGGATTTTAAACTAAGAAATCAGAAGATTATTTTTTACAATTTAAAGCCGCATGTTGTGCAAATCTTTGAGGGATTAAACGTAAACTTGGTTTTGTGCTACAATACTGATGCACTTATGCAGGCGTTGAAGGATAATCAAAATGTTATGGCAACAAAAATTGTACCTTCCCTTCACAATGACGTAGAATCTGGGGTGGGGAGTAGTGTGGAAACACTGAATTCAACTGTTGTGTTTGACGCGCCGAGCACTGATAACTTAACAAAATTTTGCAAATGAGTGCGTGTGTTTCGAGATACATAGTTATTTTATCGAATTGTTGATATACTTTTGAAAACTAATAAACTAAGTTCCTACCTGTAATGGTCTAACAATCTTAACTTCCTCTGTTGTCTTTCTTTTTCTTATACATATACTTTTCTCTTTTTACTACCTAATCCACCTAAGTACAAACATCCGAATTTAATAAATTGTTAAATTAATAAATTTTATTAAGCATACATAAGTAGAAAAAGTGGCCACTCTTTAAAATGCTTTCAAAATAACTTAGAGCAAATGTGGAGATACTTTGATGCAACGTTTCAATTAACTAAGCTCAGTATGCATTTAACAAAATGGCAACCCTTTTTTTCAAAATATATTTAGGGATTTTTTAAATTTATTACTTTAGGCGCCTGTAGTCCAATGATTTATTTCAGCACTGGTGGCAACCCTCTACAAAAAGATTTCATAAATGAGGCTCATTTAGACCTCTATCGTTTGATACCCATATTAGAAATTCCATTTAATTTGAATTGACTTTGAATTTCTAAACAGGCGGTAACCCTCTTCAAGAACGTAAATAAATAATGTCCTCTTAAACTTTTTTTGATTGACACCTACATATGTATGTAGATATATATATATATATGTATATGTATTAAAGGGTTTTAATTATTCATATTCATTTAATTGCTTTTGAGCAAAAGGCAACCCTTTCAACAAATATTTTACAAGCAGAGATTTTTTAAACATCTATTTGACACCCGAATTAATATATTTCATTTAACTTGTTAACTGAATTGATTACTTTACTTATTTTGCACCACCCTAATGTACATAGTACATGCTCATTTTAGTCTTAAATTTTGTTTGATACTTCATTTGTTGGGTAAGTTTGGATACATTTTCACCAACATTCTTTTTGGATGTATTTGAATATTTCATATAAGCACTTAATGTGGAAATATAAAATTTGGAACCAAAGGGTATATGAATTGTTTAATTTTAGGTGGCTGTACGGTTATATTCCATTCAGATCCATATACATATGTATGTACGCATAGTTAAGTTAACTTAGGTAAGTTTCCTATTATTTTTCTACAACTCAAGGTTAATACGGCTGCAAATGGTATTTAAATTTTAAGCGATATGTACGTAAATTGCGTGTAAAGGCTAATTGAGATATTTTTGTCTTTTTGGGCATTCAAAATTAATAAGAAGGGGGCTAATTTTTTATGCCCGATCGAATTTAGCTCCGGTTTCGGCCCTGCCTCTCAAGACCAAAAATAAAAAAAAAACGAAAACTGAAAAGGGAACTATAAAAATAAACAAGAATGTGAGTTGATATAAAAGTGGTAAAATCATGCCAATTCTCAGGCCAGATACATATGTACATGTTTACCATATTTGAAATATATAATAACACTTCTATGTGCTATTCACCAGAGTTCGTTCACTTCTATTTCTCTTCACAGTAACATTGATCGCATTACTTATTTTAAACGCATAAGTACCATACCATATACATACATATATATTTGTGGGACAGATTTTATTACAGCTTATTTTTATGCAGATCTACATATTTCGTTCACATACTCTAGTTTTATTATAAAAGTGAATATTTAAAATACCATTGCCGGCATAAATTACTACCACACAGAGAGTGACTGGAATATGAATTATAAATATCGATAGCTTAGAGTGAAAAGTTGCTAAGTCCATATTTTCTAAAAGATTATATTTTGATGCGAGATGCCTGAGAAATTAAAGCTGTAACGGTATCTAAAAGATCATTCTCTATTTCTAGCCGTTTCTATTCAGTGATGTGCTAATTTGCTAAGTCTAAAATAATTACAGAAAATGTGATAACAAAGAATACAAAAATTTGTGGAATTTGGTCCATTTGGAGTTCATTTAATTTGGAATATTTTTGCAAAACAAATTTTACAAGAAAATAAGTGTGAAAAGTTTTTATTATTTTCTGTTAAATTTGAAAAAAGTTGACTTAGCAACTTTTAACTGTAAGCTAACGACCTTATATTTTTGTATGCATTCCCATTTATTAGCCACCAAACTATTTTTGCTAACACCTAAAACTATGCTTATGTTATTGTAAAACCGTACACCGCTGCCAAGTGCACTGTAGAAAATAGATTGGGTTTTTTTTTTACATATATGTGGACTTTTGACAAAGCTTTCTGTAGGTTAGAATTTAGAATAAAATGTGAGGAATTTCCATTCAAAAATTTTTAATTTTTATTAAAATTTCATTAAGATAACATTCTAAACTACTCCTAATGATTGGAAATAAAAATATCTTATAAGAACTCAATGAAGAGAGAATGACCTCACTCAATATAAATACTTTTGTCAAATGTCTACAGAGATGTATGCATGTCACATCCTGAAGATACCTATCTACATATTTTTTTAAATCTAGCGATTGATTTATGAGCAACTTTGAAAAATAATAATACCGAAATACAACATTCATTAGAACAATATATATGTACATATACATATATGTACATACCCTTGTGGTCACCCTGCAGGAAATTGTATTAGTTTGAAAGATATTTATAAACAACTTTATTTTCAATAATAACTAATTGAAATTCGCACTATTTTACCTGCAACATGGCCATGTCCTAGGAAGCAGTCAATTGCCTTTTCCTGCATGTATTTTCAACTACTTTAAAATGAGTTTAGCTTAAACAATTTCAAAGTCAGTATGTTTGTTTGAATACGATTTCTTTCTGGACTTCACAGATGCTTTTTCATACTTCCAAGACACAAAGCAAAAAAAGAGTATACAAATTCGAAGCATTTACTCATTGCGTTTGTTGTAAAGTAGTCTATCAATTAGTTGATTTAACAAAAAGCACTTCCGTATTTCTTTTGTCTATTTAATGTTTATAATTTTTTTTATAAAAGTCTGGGTCATTATATAACCAGCACCACATAAATCCACATTTCAAGCTTCATTCAAAAATTATAAAAATTCAATAAACTTTAATAATTACACCCGAAAATTTAAAACATTTTATTAAAAATTTTAAGAAAAAATTTTGGTATGCAGTTTTATAGCCCAATAAATGTTAGAACGTTTAAATGCAAGACTCTAGAAAATTGCGATGATTTTTAATAATTTTTTTGGCTGATGGTGTTGTGCATTTTCTTCCATATAAACATGCTCGACAATTTCGTTTGTATAGGAGAAAATTTCTAGCACCATCAGCAAAAGGGTTATAAAAATTCAACGCGATTTTCTAGCGTCTTGATATTTGCACTTTAACCTTCAAAAATTTAACGATCTAAAAAACTGCATAACTAAAATTTTTCTAAAATTTCTGAGTAAAAAGCTTAAAATTTTCGGCTGCAAAAGTTAAAGTTTGTTGAATATTCATAATCTTTGTACGATGTTTGAGATGTGCAGTTATGTGGCGCTGGTTAGGTAAAAAATATAAACATTAACTAAACAAAAGAAAAATAGCCAAAACTAGTCAAAATATCACTGAAAAACTGGTCTTTCAAATTATTGTTGCTTTTTCACAATAAGTTTTCATTAAAAAACGGCCTCAAGCTCAATAAAAATTGTCGAAAATACTTGTGTATTATTTTAATAAATTAAACTTTTGAACCGGTAGGAAAGGTTGCCTTTTTTTCGATTGCACAAAACTTAATTGCGATAAATTATTATGCACATCAATTGAAAGATGTTTTAGAGGGCTTTAATCCATAATTATTTTGGTTTAGGGTTGCCACATTTTTTAAAACCAATTTTTATCTTATTAATTTCAACCAAATTTTTTTAGTTAGACATACACAGTACATATATACTCAAAATATGTATTTTCTACCTGGTGGATAGTTAATTTTTATTAAGTTTGCTCCAAAATATTCTTTGTATACAATTCTGAGGTATCTACTGATGGGCCATTCAATTGTGACTGGTGGGACATTTTACTTTAGAATTTAATCAGTTTTGAATTATAACTATGCCGTCGAAGCTTACACAACAGCGAAAGACATTTTTTTAAGTATAACGATAACTTAAAAAAGAAGTATGTATAAAATTGCTTTAACCGAAATACCAAACGATTTCTTAGTTTTATATAAATAACTCTCATTTGAATGAATGTGACTGGTGGGACACTAAAAATAACTCTATTTTACCGTGGAAACACAATGCCGGCGAACGGCGAACTCACCACAGTGAAATTCCCGTTTTAAAAATTAGAACACCCGCAAGTATATTAAATTGAATCCAGCCAAATGCGAAGTTGCTCGGCGGTGTTTCGTGGCGATAGATTTATTTTTATCGCTCTGCTGGGTATGGCGGCAGTACATGCCAAAGGTGGCCGTACGTTTTTTTTGTTTTTTTTTTGCTTTCAAAGATTTAGAAGAGAACAACATATGACACGAATTATTTTTGTTGGCTGAAAAATAGAGTGATCGCTTCATTAAATCTGGCTTAAAATAATAATTCCCCCTTGCCTTATATTTTTAATTGTTATCATTTCATCATTTTTATAAGCGCGACGAAATGGTATCAGCTGTTTTCGCTACCGCTCTAATTCTGTTAAAGTAGGCGAAATAGCCGGGCGGGACGGTGAACGACGGCATCGCCCAATTCGACGAAATATGGGTGTGAATCAAATGGGATAAAAGAGGGTTGCCACATGTTAAAAAATTTCAATTCATCTAAATTCATCAGTTAATTAAAATATATATCACAATGTCAGACGAAGGAAATATAAGAAGGTTGAAGCTTGAAAATACTTTTGAATAGGGTTGCCACCTGTTTTAAAATTCGAATTTAATTAAGTTATATACAAGAAAGAGCGTAAAGAAATCTTTAGTTTCAACATTTAGAATGTTTAAAGAGGGTTGCCACGTGTTCAAAAAGTTACTTTCAAATTATTTAATAAGTTAAATGAATTATGTATTCATTAATTAAAAAATTAAATTCAGCTTAATTCCCCAGTTAATTGAAATATGCATCACAATGTTAGATAAAAGGGATTTAAGAAGGTTTTACTTTGAAAAGTATTTCCTCCTGTTTGAAAAGTCGAATTTAGTTAAGTATCAATCGAAAGAGATTTATGAAAGCTTTAGTTTGGAAATATCTTTGATTAGGCTTGCCACCTTATCTAAAAGTCATACGTATCCAATCATATGTATATATTATCCAGGAGGCACAATTGTGAAGGTCATCAGATTACCTCCATTATTTCGAATTTCAAATATGAGAGGTCAAAGTAAAGACCTTGGCCTGTAGATGTGCGGTAAGGTTTTAATTTTTGTAGTCAGATTTTTTTATCGGTAAAGGATGATTTGAAATTTGATTATATTAAAAACCAACACTTTTCGAGTCCTCTCTTCACTCAGAAACGGCTGTACGGATTTAGATGAAATATGCCACTCGGATCGCTTATAACTCTGACTAAGATTTGCAGTAGTTTGTAGCTTTTTTAAATGAAATTTTGGGCGTTTTAATGCCTTGGGGATTCACTAGTAATTTATAATTTCCAACCTAATTTATCGAAAAATCCGAGGCGTCTTTGAAAATCCGGGCCCGGGGGAAACACCTACCACCCTCTTCCCTCTAGACGAGCATGATTCCGATAGACCAACTTACAAAAGTGGATTAATAACGTCTTGGTATAACTGGGAAAAGTTGATAAAGTGAATGTCAAAATGAATGTATTAAGAACTTGCTTGAAATATCACTCATACGCCCCCACCGTCACAACTGATGGCATACTTATGTATGTAGCTTTTCATTTCTCAGCGCGACCTATAGTAATACTAACATTACTTTCCTAAGCCTTATAAAAGCTTCATAAATAACGGTATCTTTGTACTGTTGCTATTTTTCACGAAAGCAGTTGAAACGCACTGAGGTGTAAATCCATTAATCCAAATATCGATTAATCCGAATATTGATTAATCGAGCGCTTCTGATTCGATCCGGGAATCGATCCAAAGAATTAAATTCGGTATTCGACATTCGATTTTGAATTATCGAAATCGGTTCATGTAGTAAAAAATATTCCGACGAGTTGGCCATCTTCCTCCTTTTTGAATTCGGTCAAAAAGAGCAAAACATCATCTTAAGATTCACACACACACATCTTTAACCGCTTTTTGATTATAAATGCATATTTTCGTTCATTTAGTCGAAATCTTGAAATTATCTAAATACTGGAATAATGTTTTTTTTTTCTATTTGTTATTTACATATATAATTCAGGGATTTGAGTAATGATGCATTGGACGCTAGTTATTATTGACTATTATAGTTAGCTTATCTAAGCTATAAGTTTTTCGCCACGTGCCAAAAAATCGCTTTCATTACTTCCTGGAATTAATTGCCATTTATTTACCACCTGTTTTGATTGTCGCAATCAATCATACACATCCAATGTGCTTATCCATCAAAATATAAATCCATTACCGTCATAATAAATTCAGTAAGGGCAATAAATCCAAATACGTGAAATTTTAATTAGCTTTTAGCATTGACAAAATTTTTATGTTTACATACATATATACAATGTTTTGATGTACATCCATATGTATACGCAAATACGGCAGACTAAATATTTCGACCAGCACTCATCCATGTTGACATGCGTGTGTATATTTTAAAAGCAAGTGGATTTTGCATATGTACATTAGGATGGTTCAAAAGCAGTAAAGTTGGATTGTTCTATTTATATCGAAATAATATAACCTTGTTTTATTTATTGAATAAAAAAAATATATTTCGAGGTCCCTTTTATTCGAAAAAAAATTTCGTAGATATGTTTGAGAATCCTTGAAAACCTATATTTTTCAATCGGCAAACTCTGTAAGTTTTCAAGGGTCCCAAAAACCCCAAAAACCTGCAATGGGGGTACTCATTGAAGTCTCCTGAAGAGAAACAGCATTTACTGATTCTATACCATTTCTACGAAAAATAGTTTTTTCCCATATAAAATATGTAAATAGATGGCAAACTTTGAGCGACTTCAAAATATTTTTTTTTAATAAAATGAAAGTATTTTTTATTAATAAAAACAAAGGGTTGTATATTTTTTCGGCGTATGTAGAAAAATCCTAAAAAATTCCGAGTTCCTTATTCTCATGCATTTTTCCCGGACCACTCTAATGTACATACACACTTACCTAGTAAACACCTTTCATGCAATGTTTTACCCAAGAAAGTATTTTCGCACCTACATAATATTTAATAAATACAAATTATCATCAGTATAGCGAATTTGGAAACCCACACAATGATCATCGATACCAAAAAAAATGCTGGTAAACTTCCAACGGATAAAATACTTTGTATCAGCCATACGTGCGAATTGCAGATGCAGTTCTCTTTCGATGAGTCCGAGTAGACAGCTTCGGATTCATCAAAAGATGCTCCGGCTTTAGCTTTAGCCCTCTCATTCCGTGTATGTTCCTTTGGCTGTGAACCCAGATGAGAGAGATGTCTATTAACTAGGCCATAGAGCTTAACGCACATTTGCAATCTCAGAGTGTTTTAGATTTTGCAACCGGTGCTGCAAGTGGCAGAAGTGCCGCTTGGCTATCTGAGAAAATGTATGCTTTTCGTACTTCTACATAGTTTCTCCTAAGGCTTTCGAGGCCCTTTCGAATCCCAGTTCTACTCGCTTGGAAGATGCTAGTAAAATTAGCTAGTCGAAACGAGAGAGAGACATTCAAAGTTTCAGGGAATACCCGCGCACCCACACCGCAGTCCATTTTGGACCCGTCGGTATAGATTTCAGTGGAATTCTCCTCGACTATTCTGCCTCTACTCCAATCCCGTCTAGAAGGAAACATCACTCAAATTTTTTCCTGAAATCTGTCGGAGCAGGTATATAATCTGATTTTTCCTCTGATTCGATAAGCTTTTGAGTTAATGCAGGATCACATTAGGCGCATCAGATGGACCCGACTTGATGGTTCCTGTAGCACCTGCACAAGCTGATTTTAGTATACTACGTTATATTGTTTTTCTAGTGCCGGTCACCAAACTAACGCCGCGTACGTTAGTATTGGTCACATGATAGCCGTGTACATCCAGAGGACAAGCTTTGGATTTAATACCCAGTTCTTACTGAATGTTCTTTTGCATGTATAATAAGCAATGTAGGCTCTCTCAATGCGGCTCTCAATATTTGTATTCCAGCTTAGTTTGGTGCCTAATATGACACCCAAGATATTTCGCCTCGGAGGACAATGTGAATAAAAGTAGGTACGTATTTGAAAAAATTCAGTTAACTTGAATTTAGCACAATATCAGAAACTGTTTATTAATTTTTTGGTACTACTGTAAAACCCGCTAAAGTACCTCACGAAAATGTCAGCTTTTTTAGGTACTTACGTACGGGTTGGATACTTAGTAGAACCCGCATAAGTACCTCGATGTGGGTACTTAAGCGAACATAATTATTAATGTAGTTAATCTTCTTGTTAACTTACATAAATAAGTACTTGAATGAAACATGAGTAATTGATTACACATATTTATACATACATACAGTGTTGGACCAATTTCGGACCAATTAAAAATTATGGCGTTTGCGTTTATTTATTAATTTTTAAGATTTTTCAATTAAAACACAGTTCATTTCCTAACAAATACCATTTAAACCTAAGCTTATACATACATAAATAATATAAAAAAGTTGCTAATAATTCAGATCCCGTTCATTATGCCGTTCCTGCCCGTTGCTTCACAACGGCATTCGCGCTCAAGCCGCTTCACAGCTCATCACTTTCGCCACTTCACACCTCCTCTTCATTATGATGACACCTTCGTTTTTGCTCGAGTGAACAGCCGTCTATTGCAACAGCAGTATTCAGACCCGCAATTTACAATTATAGCTTGATTGCCAATAATTCACAGCTTGGAATTTTCATCTTTGCCAGACAATTCACGTTCCAAGTGATCGACATCGTATATAACGATCAGTCCCTTATTGAGGTCTTCGAAAACCTGTGCGACTCGACGTTGCAGATTGTAAAAGTAGAGTTTTTGGTTACGCGTCTCGAAATCTTTAATTAACATCGAAACCACCTTGGCGGCGGTGAAATCAGCACCATAAATGTAGGTGCAATCAATGACTACGGGTACCGTCGATTTGCGCCCTTGCTTGTTGATCACATTGCGCACAAACTCTACAGAGGGAAAGATCAGACATCGATCGGGGGTGAGCATGAGGTATCTAATGCCAGTTGAGGTCTATGTGGTGGGAAAAGAGTAAATTAATAATGTGTTTAATTGCAGGCGTATCTACATAAATAATAATACATAATAAGAGTTTAAAGAATAACTTACACATAAATTTTCGATACGCAGTTTTGGTCTCGCTGCACTGTACAATATGAAAACGATATTGATGCCAATGCCAACCAATATGCCAACCTGTATGGGCAATACAATACAAGCTATGAAGGCTCCAAGGCCAGGAATGAGATCAGTTTCTGGAAGGTAAAATAATTAAATTATTAGCAAAGTAGGGAAATGAACGATTTAGATGAGTTATACATATTTTTAATAGGAAATCTTTTAGTTTATGCCTCCCTAGTTTAAATAGGTAAGACAAATGCGCACACTTATTTTTTCGTCCCGCTAGATTCTCTATTCAGCCCACTTTATGCCGGCTGAAGACCTGGTAGGCAATGCTGCGCTAGCGTATTTCTTTATCAAATTGTCTTTTTTATACAGGGGTAAGCGCTCGAAGTGTTACAAATTTATAAATTTTATAGTTTTGTATTTTTTTTTTTGTCTTTTTTTTACTTACAAACATCAGATCATCAAAAAAATTACAAATTTAAAAAAAAAATGCATTACAGTTATATTCAGCCAATTTTTGGGGCGGATAATAGCATCGAGTCTACCCGGGAATGCTTCACAGGCTGCACGAATGTGGTCTTGTGATATTTTACTGCAGTGGCAGTGTTTTTTCTAAAAAGCGTTGAATTTCGCGAGCTTTTAATTTTTAATTTTGGCTTGTCACGTTTGAGACTGACTTGTACGTAAATAAAGGGAGCAATTTTCATTTTATTCTATTTTAATAGAAGGTACGTTACTTTTAAGTAAAACCAAACAAAGGCCGACTTCGTTGTTTACCTGTTTTTCGTAGTCTATATTTTTATGTGGTTATTCGTTTAATTTTTTTTGAATGAAGGCTATCTAATATAATTTAGAAGATATTTGTAATTTTCATTTGTTTATATAAACTTTTTTAGAGTAAAGTGCGGAGAAAATAGCAATTTTGGAGAAAATCGATTCTCCTGTTGCTGAAATGAAATTGGTACTGGCAAATTTTAGCTTTTGCATTTCATAAAAATATATATACTTTAATAATACATTTTGAGGCAGTCTTTTTTTTGAGCATTCTGCATTTAAACCTAAGATATTTTTCTTCCAGATGCAAGTTAAATTGTTAAAATACCTTTATTCGTCCAGAAGTTATGATTTTTTCGAAAAATGTCAAAAGGTCCCATAGTGGGACGCCCAAATAGCGCAATTATTATATCTATAGTCAATTACACTGGTCTACAAGGGTTTTGCGAATAAGACGGGACCTGGTGT